CCCCCCCCCCTCCAAATACACAATCTCTTCATTTTAAACCGGGAGATGAGCAAGCAGCTTGCTTCTCACACAGCTCATCAGGCAGTCGGCTGGTATCTCAATGACTGGAGACATGCTCCATGCCCAGTCTGGAAGGGTGACAGACCCAAAAGCCCTGACTCTGCACCTCAAAGGAATGTAAATCCAAACAAAGCCAAAGTGTGGCAAAAACACAATGGTAGCACTGGAGCAAACGGCCTTGTGCTGCCTGTAGGGGTTAAATATTAACCCAGAGGTGAGAACCAGGAGATGCTCCAAAGCAACAGAAGCTCCTCCAGGCCCCTGCCAGAGACTCTACAGTCTTAGCACTCCTCCTCCTGTCCTGACCTTCAAGAGCAAAGTGGCAAGTTCCTCCAGAAAGGCCCTTTGCCTCGACTTCCAGACCTCAGGTTAGACAGAGGAGACGTTAGTCAAACACAATTTTGGCCTCATTACAGACACCAACAGGATTTGGTAGGTTTAAGGCAAACTGGATCGTTTCACAGAGTCATAATTGGCTTCATAATGCATAAAGGTCTAAGAGCCAGAAATAATTGGCCAGGCACTGAGCAACTTTGCCATCAAACATCCCGGGTCATCTCAAAATCTGCTGTCATCTTCAACTGCAGGGTTGCTCTGCTCAGGTGAAGAAGAGCAGGCAGGCAGCAAGAACATGCCAAAGCAGGCAGCAAGCACATTGCTCACCCAGAGGCAGCCATAAGCAGAGGCAGCGCACCACGACAGTTTAGCCAGAACAATTCCCCTTGCAGCAGTGATCTGACCCTAAGCAGAAGCACAGGCCAGAGGAGGCCAGTGCAGCGATCACTGCGGAACCAAACCGCCGCGCCAAGGAAAGGGCACGGGGACGAGGACAAGGCACAGCTTTCTGGATGTGAGACAAGCAGAATAAGACTAAGCTGCCTCATGCTTCCTCCCCTTGGGTGGGATACTCTGTCATCAGTGCTGTGGACACGGAGCTGCTCTGGGTACCGAGAAGCAGTGGCTGAAGTTAAAATGTACAAAATCCCCAGAAGAATTTGGGTTAACCTCTCCCCATTTACATTCAAGGTGTCAGCATTAGTAAAAGCAGTCAGAACAAACGTCAAATATTCATTAAAATGAATAAATTAAGAGAGAGAAGAATGACATATCCACAGATATTCAGGTTTTTTTTAAAAAAAAGCTTAAAGTAAAGGTATCCGGGGCAGTTAGTGCACCTGGATGTATCGTACCAGGAGCAGTGTCAAATTTTCGGGGATAATTTGACCCCTCACCCCCAATGAAATCAAGTCCTGAAACAAAAAAAAAAAGACAAGACAGACAAGCAGTGAAATTTTGACTTAAAGTAGTGAAGTGAGTTTCATTGCCCCCATGTCCACCAGCCACATTGTACCTGTGGATATTGTTAAAGAGATGCCTGCAGCTACTAAAATAGAAACAAAACAACCACGTACACAGGTGAACAGCACAGTCGCACAATAAACTTTCCAGCTGCGTTGTAGAACTACAGCAAGTCTGAGTTGTTCCATCAAAAATCTTCAACTCTCTCCAACCACACTCTAACCCACTTCGTTCCACAATTCCACAAAACACCAACACAGGAAGAAAAAAAAAAAACACACCAAACCACCACACAGGAGCCTGTTCAGACTAGAGTTAAACTCCCAGCATGTAGAGCTCATCCAGCCCCATCCCTTTTTCCTGCAGCAAGTGTACCCGTTGCCCTTAACACTTTGCCTGCACTACTCCCTCCAGTATTTAAAACTTCATTTCTCAGTCAACAAGAAAATGATCACTCAATCTGCTAGTGTTTTACAAAACCATGCTTATTTTTTTCTCTCACTTTTCTAAAAAAAAACCAAAAGCCAATCCCAAAACACCCCAACAAAAATCAACCACCAAAACACAAACCAACCAAAACAACCCTACACTAACGTGTAGTGAAAGCTATCACAGTTTATAATACTTTATTTCTCTCTTTCCAAAGCTATCAGTTTTCCAGCAAATACAAGAAATATGGAAGCAGCCTAAAGCAACATTAATATGGTTGTAAATGCTTCTTATAACCAAGATGTGGCATTTACCCGAACGCTCAAAAATCATGGAAAAAGTTTTGACTTCACTGTGGTGCAAGATTACTCCATAAATAAAACAAACACTTTAAAAGAACCCTACACAAAGACTACTTACAACCAAGGATTGTCCCTCACAACAGTCCAGTTATCACACTGTAAAAATCTGAGTTCACTTGTGCCTTACAATAATGTGAATACTTGAAACAAACAAAAAATGTACCATTTTTCCAATGCAAGAGAATGTTCAAGGGCAGATCAGCATTCACGAAGTGCCTAGTGAAGAAATGTTTTGGTGGGGTTTTTGTTTGGGTTTTTGTTTTTGTTTTTTTTTTCAAGCACAGAAGTGATGAAGCTTCTGTAACAAGGTCTCACCCTACAGCAGCTTGAGCAAGATGACCATGAAAGAGAAAAAGCTCCCATATGGAAATCAAGAGCAAGACATCTGAACTCTGAGTAATATTCTCTGGAGGATGCACCAAATATCAGGAGAACTTGCCTGTGTTCATCTCACTACAGTTTATAAAAAAGACCTTTCCAAAGAAGCAGCATGGTTTCTGCTGGAACACAGAGGGAAGTGTTCCTGTGCCTCTGCTGGGCAACAGCACAAGCTCACCCCACAACAATCATCCAGCTCCCAGTTTCCAACGTGGTCACCCTAACAGAGGGAAAAGGCACCTCCAGGTGCCAAGAAACGAAGTTGCTGAAATCCATCTCTAAACCAACAACCCGTTCGTCTGCCCCCGAGCCAAAGAGAGACCCAGAACCTCCTCAGTGCAACTGGACAACACAAAATCCACTTACCCTCTAACGACAAAGCGGCAAAGACACATGAAGAGCACTTACTCGTGCCGTCATCCGGCTCAAAGCTGCCAGTGTTGTTCCACGTGTTGTTGTTGCTATTCCCGTAGTTCTCATCCGTGCCGGCCGGCTCGGCGTAGTCAGCCGGGTTGAAAGTTCTGTAAGAAACACAAGAATGGAAACTTTTACTCCCTCTCCCGTAGCATTTTAAAAGCAACTCATTTTATTCAGACCATGACACATCTCACGCCCAAAAGGCAGCGCTCTCAGCAGACAGGTGCCTCAGTTACACTAGTCATTCCAAATTTAAGTTAGCATGATGCACTTTTGGCTTTATTAACAAAAAAAAAAGGAAAATCGGAACACAAATGACCAACACAAATAGTACTATTCATGCACAAAGATTTTGATTTTTGCTGTGGTTTGTACCAGTGAAACTCACCCCATGCCTTGGGCAGAAAATCTTCCCCCTCGTCTTCCAGAGCCACCTGTAAAAGACAGAGACACACTGCTGAGCAAGAAAAGAAACATCTGAACAACATAGAGTTTTGATGCCCAGGATATAAAAGTCGTGAGGATCTTCCCAAGTTGATGGGATTTCCAGCAGTGTCTTTACACGTATGGGAATGACCTCAGCTGGCTGGCAGTGTAATTAGCAACGCACGATTCCAGGCTCAGATGAGGTTTCCAGCTGGCACAAACCATAAGTACCAGACCCCAGGTTCCGATGCCTGCAGTGTGTGTCCTCAGCAACAACTCCTGAGCAGCACGGATTTTTATGGAAAAGTGAATTTTAAAGTATTTAAAAACCAAGCCAAGCGTTTGCACCGCAACGGTGCTCAGAGACACACGTGCAAGAACAAGGAGGATCCAGATTCTGTTGCTGACAAGCATTTGTCCCACCTGCCAAAGAGTCACCGCCGTCTTTTTAACTTCCCACCTCTACACAACAAAGCCCTAATTTTTCCCAATGCCACGGACTGGATGTAAGAACTAAATACTGTTTCTAGCACACGCTTAAGATGGGGAAGCAACATGTAGGCACTAACTGTAAGCATAAGAATGGAAAAATCAAGTGTTTATTTTCAGTTTGGCAATTTGTCCCATAAAAGAGGCCTTCAAACCTCAGAGAAGAGATACGCTGGCGTCGTTCTTCACCTCCCACCCCCTCTGACCTCAAAGCCCATGTGTACCTCGGCCTCGGCCACGTCCCCGCCTGCCTCTTTCCGTGCCTCTCCCAGAAGATCCTCCACTCTTACCACCGTCTAGTCCATTCTCCTGGCCCCGAACTGAAAGACAGAACAATGCAAAGACAACTTCAAGATTCATCCTGCTTCAGGAAAGATACAAGACCAAACCTTAAGCACCGAAGCACAGTGGCTGTGCGAGAGACCACGCCACCAAACGCTCCCATAACTTTTTATTTACGGGGTATCAC